AGAAGATGGACAATGCTTTCCTGATCTTCAACTACAACAACTGGGGCGTGTCCATCATGGAACAGGAGGGCACAGTCGACGACCACAATGCGGGCTTTGGCTCAACTGATGGGCGCTGGCACCACATTGCAGTCACCTGGGAGAGCTTGACGGGTCAGGTGGCGCTGTATGACAACGGCCGGCAGGCGTGGTATGTCAAGAGAGCCGCAGGCCTGAAAATTCCTCCTGGTGGCACTCTCGTGCTTGGTCGTGAACAGGTGAGAGGATGCGCTGCGCAGAAGATGATTGGTGGCGTGGTTGATCGTGAATATGGTTGATCTGCTGCCAGTTTGATCCCCTTTGTGCCACGTTGGGGCTGGGTTCCGTATTGCTGGTTCGGCATGATCGTGGTCTCGTGGGACACAACCTTGTGTGAACATTGTCCCCTGTATCTCACTGCAAACGTGTGAGAAACAAATATCTCAGCCTAAAGCAAAGGGAAGAGGAATTCTCTGTGCATTCATATATTCTTGTCTTCCCTTTTTTCGTTGTTTTGTTTCGAATTCTTGTTGTTGCATGTGCACCCTGACACTCTTCATCCCTTTGACAGGACTGTCTTGGCGGGTGCTTCGATTCGAGGTACGGTGCTGCTGGGGACGTCCAGCCGTGGATAGAGCTTGAGTACGGGGCCCAGGACTTCTTTGGCGTGATGGACCAGATACGTATCTGGAACGTGGCCAGAACGCCAGACCAGATCTACAAGGGGATGTTGGCAGACCAGGACAACGGCTCTGGCACCGAGAATAGGTACATCGACCCCAATGACCCCACGCTGGTGGCATACTGGAAGTTTGATGAGGGCAAGGGCTACATTGTGCACGATGAAACTCCCAGGGGCAACCATCTGCACATAATGGAGGAGCCTGACTGGCTGGTGGGTGACTGTACTTTTTGTTGAAGCGAGCATGACACAGTCGTTTCACCTGGTGTGTTTTCTGGCATCTCCCAGCAACCTACTTTAAGGTTGCAGCCATCTGTTTAGCCATTGAATTGTGGTATGTGGGAATCAGCTTTGGAGTTTGTACAGACACTGCTCGTCCTCTGTTGTCCCTGTTCTGGTTCCTTCATCTTACGAATTTTCAGATTACAAGATGAGGAATCCCAAATTGCACCATTGCTGGTGCGTCCGATGGCCTACAAGTGATGCCCTGGTGCTTGTTGCTCATTACCCGCTGCTTGGTCCACCTTGTTGCAAGGACCTTGCTTTGGCCTCCAGTGGCAGGTGCATTCGAAGGGCTCAGTTTCGCTGTGCTTGCCCAAAGGTCATGCGATGGATGGAGAGGTGCGGCAATGGGATCAAGGAGGGCGTTGAGAAGTGCGACGACGGCAACATTGATGACGGCGATGGCTGCAGCAGCATCTGTCGTGTGGAATCTGGTTGGGAATGCACCCCCACCAGCCCCTCGCGCTGTTGGAAACTGGATGGGTCGTCCTCACCACCAGCCCCGAGGCCCCCTCCTCCTTCTCCCACTCCGCCTTCCCCGACCTACTCTCCAACCCCTCGATCGTACACCCCGCCACCACCCGAACCAACGCCCTACTTACCTCAACAGACCAGCGATGCTTCAACCCAGTCTGCTGATGATGCCAGCAGTGGTATGGGCACGGCAACCTGGGGGGGAGGGGAGGGGGGGAAAGCCTGCCTATCCTGTGTGCTGGAACAATTGGGAAACTGCAACAATTGGGGAATATGGAAGTGGGAGGGATTGCTTGAACTCGACTGTTGCCTATCTGTCAAACACAGTGAGCTTTGCAGTGGCCCCCTGGTGACGATTGAGGGGCCATGTATTTGATTCTGTTGGAATGCTTGTCTGTGGAGCAAGAAAGAATGAATGATGAATGAACATCCTTACAGTTAACGTGAAAATTCGACGCATTGGTCATGTCACGCGTCTAGCGCTCTACGTTTGAACTCGCAATGATTGGCAAACGCCCCACCCCCACAGCATCAAGGAACACAACGTACATAGGTCCACAGACAGCAGTACTCTCAGGAGAGATCCCCGATGTATGTCAATATCCTATCCCTTTCATCCATTGACTTGCCCAACCGACGCTGTGGAGCAAGAGGGTGGGAGAGCGTCAATTTGCAGGGAAAGCAACCTGTTGGATTTGGGGGTTTTGCAGCAACTTTCGGTTGTTGGTGTCTTTAGTGTTGTGTTACTGTATGTAGACCTTCTGGGCAGGTTGAAGTTTGTCTTGCTGTTGCAAGCGCTGACGCTTGTTCGATTGTGCTCTTGTCGTAGGTCCGAAGAGCAAGAAATCTGGGAGTGGCTGGGCTGTGCTCACGGTGGTGTGTGTGGTTGTCGGGATTGTTGTCTTGATGGCTATTGTCTACAGGAAGAGAGAATTTTTCTATGATCGCTTCCCACAGGTAATGGATTGTGGGCTCGATTGGTGCTGCGAAACTCTTTTTTCCTTGTTCTTCTATTCAAGTCGATGGTGTCAAATTCACTTTGCCAGGCATGGTTGTTGGGCGCATATCTGACAAGAGGTTGCCAGATGTATTCTTTCTGGGTTCTTCCTTGGTTTCAGAACATGGCATTGCACCTAAAAGCATTCCAGATGCCAGCACCGTCCTAACGGATAAAGCAGAAGCAAAATGTTGCCGCATTCCTGCACGATCCTCCCTTGCCCAGCGTCGTTTGTTGGTTGGCGTTCTGCACGTCACAGAATCAGGAGCTGTTTTTCCACGTGCCAGTAACCCGACATCCAGTATTCGGACTCGCTGCGACGAACAGCAGCATTGCCCAGAATCTCGGCGCAGATGCCTACTCCACGCAGCCGATTGGTGCCCATTGTGATTGTGATTGTGATTATGGTTGTGGTTGTTGTTGTGACTGTGACTGTGACTGTGACTGTGACTGTGACTGTGACTGTGACTGTGACTGTGACTGTGACTGTGATTGGTCCCCATGCGTTGGGACGGGCAGCGGCGGCCTGACGCCCGTTGCCTCCATGCCTCGCAGTTGGAGCAGATGGTGAACGCCTCCCAGGACAGGGTGGGTAGGATGATGGGCCGCCAGCCGGGCTACGACGGCGTGCTGTCGCTAGACCCCGAGGCCGACATGGACCACCCGGCCTTCGTGGACTCACAGCCGCCCGCTGCCTACCAGCCGCCTGGGCGCCCCATCCCCTACGCTCCGATGCCAGATGCCGGCGGCAACTGAGCCGCCCGGACGGCGAGCCCAGCCCAGTGGCTGCACAGAACAGGCCAGGCCAGCCGTGGCTCTAAGGCGCCACTGGCGTGGGTCGGCTTAGGGGCAGGATCTGGTTTACTGGGGTCGGTGGTTACTGGTACCTGGTTTATGCCTTGTAATACCTGGTAGTACCTTATAGTGCCTGGCGGTACCTTGTAGCACCTGGCGGTACCTTGTAGTGGAAACTGGTAGTACCTGGTGTCCACGTTAGCCGCCCAACGAATTGGTTGCGCGTGAATTCAGGACGGTAGACTTGGGCATGCGCGCGTCAGCAGGGGGAGGGGATGCGTGGTCCTTTGCGGGAGGGCAGCTGCCGAAGCCTCGAGAATAACACGACTGTTGCTGTATTCTGAGGCGCCGCGCCCCTTTTGATGGGCCCCCGGGGTGCCTCGCGCCTCGGGCGCTCGGCGAGGAGTGTTTTTTTGGACGGCGGGCGCCGGTGCCTGGCTTTTTTTTTTATTTGGTCTCGGGGGTAGGGGGCGGGGCCGCAGTGGGGAGCTGCGGTGGGGTTGGGAGATGAGGGCGGGAGTGTGTACTATGAGGTGGGCGAGGGAGGGGGAGGACGTGTGCTGTACTCTGTTGTTGGGCGTTTTGCTCGAGGTGTGACTGCTGGCACGCGCGTTGATCCTGTTGCCCGTCCGGGGCCAGTTGGGCCTCTTGTTAAAATGATTGGGTGGAGAGTATGGGGTGGGCGGCTCGGGGACGGATGGTGGCTGCGCCCGCGAGGCATTGCAGGCTTGGGTTGGCGCCCGTTTGAAATGGATGAAGAAAGGCTCGCTGGCGGTCATGGATTGTGTATCATCGAACGATTGTCTGTATTGTTCTGAACTCGGTTCAACCCATCAATTCATTTCGGGCACAACGTGCGTGACACGGCGCGAGTCAGGCACCCCCTTTCCAGCCAAAGGTGTTAGGCGACACTGTGCATTCTGCGCCGGCACGCCCACTGCAGATTGATTGACGAACAGTGCAGTCGGTTCATTCACGAAGGCTCACGGCGATTGACAGCAACGGCGGCCGCCAGGAGCATAAAACTGACGGATTCCAGTCCTCAAAACGGGCGTTGGCCCTGCTTCCGATTCAGAGGCATGAGCAAGGCGGGAGCCCCAGCTAGGGCACGGCCGCAGGGGCAGGAGCTGCACCGCAATGCCCTTGTCCCATCAGCATGCTTGAACTTCCTGTCCACGCCCTCGCCCGAGCGTCAGCTCACCGCCTGGAAGGCTCCGCCCTCGAACGCCTTTGTAGTGTGGCGATGTCCGCTCCCATGGCATGGGTCTGCAGGTGCGCAGATCCAGATCCACGAGCGAAGGGGGCACATCAGCATCCTCAAGACCCACCAGAGCACAGTGTTTCTTGGTCGATTGGCACATTAAGACCAGTCGTCCGAACTGGATCAAGAATATGCGCCAACAGCCGTCCACTGTGCAAACCATGCATGTTTGCCCATCACAAACCGCCAAGCATGGCTGCACTCGACTTCACGGCTGCTGATGCGACCCAACATTTCTCCGTTATCCACAAATATGCTTGTCACCGGTGAGAAGTGTGCATGACAAAGCTGTGTCAACAACCCTAAAAATCCCCAACGGCACTTTATCACCACCACACAGTCTGTCGATCAAACTAAGGAAACTGGCACTGCATTCCTCCTGTCTGCAGTTTGCGTCCGCATGGCAAGGCCCTGGCACAATCCTGCCTGTAAAGCAAATCAACCTAGCTAGCCTTCTCACCGATCGCGTCGCACACTTCAGCATCAGTACATCAAAACACGGGAGTCTTGGCCTTTATCTTTTTTGCCAGTTCATCGAATGCTTTTTCATACTCCTCTCGCTTTTCATCTTCTTCATCCTGTGCCTTCAGGGGATCCCTCAGCAGAAGGACGCAGCTCGTGGAGCGCTTACTCATGCCTGCGGACCCCAAGTCCTGCACATGAAGCACACTTCACATTACACGCAACACAGTACATGCACTGCAAGCAATACACAAGCCCTTTGCGTGGTGCCACATAAAATACAGGAGAAATCCATACGTACTTTCGATGCACTCTGGTCAGCACATCGAAGTGGTTTGAGCAGGTGAATGGGTGTCTGGGTTCCCTGTCAACGATGGTGCATCTGCTGTTGCAGCTAGCAGCGCTAACAGAGCATATCAGGCAGCAAACAAGTCCCCACATCGACCCAAACTGTAACTATGAGCTCCAGCCAGCCGTGCAAGCATGTGCCAACCTCATGCAGTGATACACAACACGTCTCATCAAGCACTGCAGAGAGCAAAGCGCACCACAGGAAACGACCCTGGTCAACTTACGTCCTTTGAGGGTGTGTAGATGTACGGCAAATCGTTTTCTTCACACATGATTGGCAGATGGCAGATGACGTCGAGGGGATTCACGTCGCCCGCCAGTATGCATATGCTAAACGACACACACCAACACTGGCTCAGGCTGATTTAACTGCTGCTTGCATGCTGAGCATTTGCTCAGCAATGGGTCCAGTGCATAGTTATGAACAGTGAGCAACAGGCAACGACAATGATGGCTCAAGCTGCAAGGGTGCAGCTCTGCCTCATGTAAGGAAAGCATTATCTAGGGGCGTCTGACAGCTGAGCACTGGCAACCCTGTCTTCAGCCACTGCTCAATCTCCACACTTCAATTCCAGTGACTCAGGCTCCAAGGATCTCCATCTCAACTTTTCTTTTCTGGACAGCAGCAGTTCATGGGGGGCATGCAAGCAATTTTCTTGAGAGTTTCTTGCTTCTGGCATTCACTATCCATCCATGTTGTGAAGAAATACAGGCATTGGTCTTTATTTGGCAAGACATGAAGGAATGGCAATCGCTAACAAGGGAATGTTCTCTGAGCACGACACATTCTATGGCACTGTGTATCGAAGCAAAAGAGGTGACCTGCTTTAGGGGCATGCATCCTTATATTCCTGAGAGGCAAAACTTGATGCTCACAACTCCCAGTGGAAATGGCTTAAAACAAGTCCCAAAAAACATTCCTTGATCGAGCAGGCACCCATTCACCTTTGTGAAACTTCGGGGTGACATTGCCATTTCTACTGCATGCTTCCCCACAAAGATGGACCAGGCCAAGCTGTTCAGGTACAGAGGGGGGGACTCACTGATGTCGTTGAATTCCTAACATCAAGAACACGTTTCCCCATGCAAGTTTAACGTTCAAGCCCACTATCAAGACTGGTGGTGTAGGGCTATTGTTGTCAAACACTGATGTGCGATGTGCAAGAAGAAGAGCAGTTCAGATGTGCCACCACCGGATATGGCCACCAGTGAGGGCTGTGTGAGAGTAGTGGGGAGAACATTGCTCTGACTTTCAGTACCCCTTGATGCCACCAAGGTCGCCGGGATGTGCACAAACCGGTGGCAGTTGCTCTGCCACTCCAACAGGATTTCCAATCTTGTGTTTGGACTTTCCATCTGCGTACTGCGCACCATTTGGCAATTAGCAGTCCTGCACTCGCCCAGAGGCGAAAAATCGCAAACAAACAAACAAACAGACAAATGCTTTGGAGGCGGGGTCTCATTGTTTTGCGTGTTTTTGTTTGCGCTGACAGGTAGTTTTCAAGCCTGGCAGTTCTTCAGGATGTTCGGTGGCACCCAGGCGTGCCATGGCATGGAATGTTACCATGTGTGAGCTGCACTGAATAGGTGCATGCCACGATTCTCGTCGAAATTAGGCGCCGCCTACTTTGCTGGCTCTTTGTTTAATTTCAAAAGGCACTCGCCGTTTCGTTGCTGTTTCTGCGGCCACCGTCCGACTTTGCCGGACAGTCAACCAGCAGCACATTCTCCCACAAGCCCCCAGCGCCCGCTCCTCCCCGAGGATTGGAGCGAACGCACGTTTTCGGCCGCTCACAAGCCCGTCGTGGACTGCAAGGCGCAAGGGCCCCAGTTTTCCCCACGAAAGCAAATTCAATCAAGGGCACTCAGCTCGCAGCAAACCTCCACAAGCGCCCGCAAAACCGCAAATCCACCCCATTACCCCTTCTGCTTCTTCCTGACGGCCTTGACCACCTCCTTGACCCCCCGCCTCGCGGACTTTCTCTTGGTGGCCTTCCTCGTCAGCTTCAGGATCTTCTTGAACAGCTTCTCGTCCGCCAGGGGCGACGCGATCTCTGAGACGCGCTTGCACTTGTCGGCGTAGGACAGCTCCTCCTCAGCCGACATGCCGGCGCCGTCTTTCTGATTTGCGCCTCCCGGCGCCCCTGGCGCTGGCGCAGGTCGGCGGTCGGTTGACGCCCCCTTGGTTGAATCTGCCCCCGACGAAGGGGTGGCGACGGGCGTGGAGGCGCGAAGCACGCGGTTGGTTGGGTGCGGGTGAGAGTGTCGGCACCTTGTTGCCTTTGCTTGTAGCTGACCCAGTGTTGGGTGGAGTAGTACTTAAGGGAGTGGACTGCCCTCTTCCTTGCCCCTGGCCAGGTGGTTTGATATAGCAGCGGGACATCTCACCGGAAGTACGCGGTTAGATCCCCGGTCCGGACACCTCTTTACTCGTCCGCACTTTACACCCAGTTCCCTTCAGAAATGGTACTTCGAAGCAATACTAGTAGGGCTTTCTCGCAGTGTCTTGGACAATAGTTGAAATAGTTATTTGAAGGAATGGTACTGATAATAGTTTGAAGAAGTTTGGGATTGAGGTTTGGGGTACACGAAGCACGGGAGGGACTGGGCGAGTTTAGCAGAATGACTGGCCGATTGGCTAGATTCCCGCAGGGGTGCGCCATTGCATCGGGCGCCCTACAGCCAGAGGTCTGCGTTGAATGCAGTCCGTGCAATACCCCACACCGATCCTGTTCGCAGTCAAGGACACCAAAGCGTTCGCAACACCGCGTAATGACCACCGTTTCGCTGGGTGGATCACTTACGCATTGCGATGTGCGACTTGCATGCACTTCAAGAATATGGTTTATATGCAAGGCATTCTGATAATATAAAAAGAAAAATGTGTTTTAGAATTCACAGCATTAGTTCTCTTATGATGGGACTTTTGTGAGCATCAATTTGATTGTTGTGGGAGATGCCATCTGATTCAGACACAATTACTATGGTTGGGTTTGCGCTCGCAATTGAAACATTTCTACATTACCATTGAGTGTATGGGCATCTTTGGCATGTGTTTTATGAAGTGGTTGCATTGTGGCGATGAATGGGCATCTCTGAAGTGTCGTACGATTGGTTTGTGTTGGATGATGGTCCTTGTCATGTGAAAAGAAGAGTTCTGTGGGTGCAAGGAGATTCGCACTGTTCGGTTGCCGGGGTCATTGCCACCGTCGGCAAGGCTCTTTGCTGTGGGAAGGGTGAACAACTATGTAAGCCCTGGGCGTTTTGTGTGTGGTGTGGTCTTGCTTCTGGCCGTGTGCCAACGCCGTTGAAGCATCGGCGATCGTGGATTCGCGCTTCCCGTGTGCACTCCAAAGGGGCCGTTTGAATCGCGTCAACAGCCTCTCCTTCAAGAAAAGCTTATTCAGTTAGCATATGTTTGCACACGTTCTTTGGGTGCAGCACCGTGGCCTTCCCTCTAAACTGGTGTAGTAGAAGGCGTCGTTTTGGCGCATCATTGCATCACAGCTTTCCTGTGTTGCAAATTGGACAGAGCTCCTTGCACAAAAAACTTGGGCCACTTCCCTCCTGTCTTCCTGTGCACTCGTTAGGGAATCGCGTCCCACAGCCGCGTTGACGTGCCCCACGGCCGAAGGCAGCCAAACAGGATGCACCGGGGGCATCCCCATTGGCTGCCCTGAGGAAATACGCATGAGAAACATCTGCGCTGACGGTGATACGCCGGTGACTTGGTCGCCACTGTTGAAGCTGCCCGCCGGAGGCGGCCTGGGAACGAGCTGGAGGGTACGGAGTTTAACTCCGGTAAACGTACTGCACACACATCCCCAACGGCGGCGTCCCTTTGACGTCAGCCGCGCGTTCAGTCCGTGTGATATGGCCATATCCCATCACCGGTCGCCCCACTCCGGGTGCATACACCGTCGAGCACCCCTCGCTGGGCCATCGACATTTTGGCAAACCAACTTTCTGGCCAGAACATCGCGCACGAATCGGAGCCAGTGAAGCCCTTCGATCCGCTTCAGTCCCTCCCCCGCCAGCAATCCCCCGAGGGTTGGTCATCTGTTGCGCTGACGAAGGCAGGCAGGATCGAGGGGTGGCGACCCCTGACCGGAGCTCGTAGGCTCGAGTCCACGGGAACGGGTTGCAGCCGAGCAAGAGACAACGGTGTTCTGTCTCTTATATCCAGTCCGTTCATCAACGTCCTTAATACAGCTCTGTTAAAGTTGGCCATTCCCAGGCCATAAATGACATGGCAAATGTCTCCATCAACTTCATTTTCCCAGCATCTACCGGCAATATTGCCAGCAGCATCGACTGACCACCATTAGTTACATCCTCAAAAGCATATTACATCTGAAGACAGCGGCAGCATGAGAAGCGCTCAAGAAGCGACAATCCGACCAGAATTGTACAAGATCAAGCCGCTCAGCGACTACGACTTCAGAATCAGCTCCATTGTACAGTTTTCATGCCCTATGCGGCTGACTACGCATCAGCATCCACGGTTCTGTCCAACTTTGACGTCCAGCATAGGATCACGACATCCTTTCACACACCCACAAGCAGCCAAGCGACCAGTCCGACATCCGAACACCGTCCAAGACCTCCAAAACGGCAAAAGCGCACATTGGCGTTCTCCTGCACTCTGTCCGTCCTGCACAGCGAGCCCCGCCTTCCACTCTCACTCCCCAGCAGCTGTTCGGCGCCTTCCCAGCAGTCATGACCGCAGCGCGCTTTCGGCAAGTCGAAAGCTGGCGTTTACTCATCGCTCAGTGGCTTGCCTTCGGCGATCTATGGCTCTCGAGGTGGTACCTCGAGCGAGCTGATTGCCCGCCAGGATATTGGAGCTTCGGGCTCACGGTGATCCTACCGTTCAGCGCCGAAGATGAACAATGGCTGCACCATCAACGAGAGCATGGGGGGAGGCATTACGATATCAGCTCCAGGAGCAGGCGCGCGAGGCGTACGAGCGCACGGAATCAACGCAATTGACGTCAGGACATCTGCCTGGGCCTGGAGAGAAGCCAGACTGGAACCCCGACTACGATCCGGAGGCCGTGTACCGCCCCTGGGCGCTCCAGGTGCATCCCCATCCGCATCGGCCTTACGCCGGCATAGGGATTCAGGCATTCCGTCAACACATCACCGCGATGATCGAACGCGAAGGGGGGCGGATCAGTGCCTGGCGCGGTGCGGAACTGAGCTTCTACTACCGCCAAGTACATGTGAGCCTGGACATCGCTGTACCGTACTCCGATGACCGAAGCTGGCGCGTGGAGGGTGGAGGCGTGACCCGCCGCGAATACGCGGCTACACATCTGTCAAGCGCCTCCGAGACCTTCCCACGTGAGCGGAAGGAATTCGGGGTTCAGACGGAACCCAACGCCACTGTACTGCCCTCCGCCCCCTTCGTGGAAGCCAGCGCGATTGTGGCCCGACGCGTCAATGCTGGCAAGCCGCCGTACACGGCCGTGGAGTTGCGCGCAGAGGAGCGGGCCTGGCGGAGGGCCATCCGACGTCAGCGACGCGAGGCGAGGCGACAGGGGCAGGTCCACGATGACGTCATGGATGAAGCGCCCGCTGGTGGACCACCCGCTGTACCAGCAACCCTCGGCACAACCGCGATGACGACACCAACCCTGCCACCCGGTTTTGATGGGACACGCAGCGAGGACGCGGTGACGCCATCACTCCCGCCGGGATTCGGCGGTTGATGGGCGCGGATTACGGGAAGAGGGGAGACAAGCTGGCAGTCGTGACGTGACGGTGTCCGGGCTGGCGGATGACGAGACGGAGGGTAGCCACCGGAAGCCAGCTGGCGAGGATGGAGTTGTCCGAGGATTTCCTTGGCGGAGAATGATCTCTGGGGTGTCCTGGCTGGCGTGTGACCGGACGGGACGGATTGTACCGGAAACTTGCTGTGATTGGGTCTTGTCGTGTCCAGTTGGATGAGTGAACGGGGAGGCATGACGAGAAGGAGTGAACGCATGGTTGCCGGTTGTACCCAAAAGACAGTTCTGTAATAAATAGCCGCGGGGAGTCTGTCCCGACAGCTCTCCGGCAGGCCCCTGTGTGACAAAGAGTGTCCCAGCCGCCTGTACCTCCCCACCGTCGCACCACAGCCCCCCGCCAGGCTCGGCCACCGCTGGCCTTGCCCCCTCACGTTACCCGAGAGTACGTGAGCCGGCCTAAGGAGCCTCGGGGCCCTGTGGTGTACCGCGCACTCACGCCGAGTGCTGGTGAGACGCTCGTGGGATCCGGAGTGACTGAGGGCGGCGCATTACGCAAGGCGAGCGCCGTCGCTGGTGTTGGAGTGCCGTAGCACCCTACGGGAGTGCGGATCGGCCGGTACGCGCAACGAGTGGACGCGGGGAGGACGTTGCGCTGTACGGAACTGGTGGAGGCCTCTGCGGTGAGGTGCGCGATGACTATGAGCTTTCCGGGATCGCCCATGGAAGGGGCTGCCGTCATGGCGGCGTTTGCTGGCGCTGTCGGACGGGGTGTGAGGGTCCTGGGCGCTGGCATCCAGTGGATTGGGGACTTCCTGGTGACCCTACTCGGGTGGCTGGCCTGGATGCTGAATATTGATGAAACGAAGACGAATTCCATTATAGGAGCGGTCAGAATGGTTTACAATGGCCTGGCCCTCCTCATTATGTTCAACATGACTGCCGCCATTTTCTGCGCAATGGGGCAACTTCTGCATGGTTTCGGAGCCGAGGTAGGCTCGTTGGGGAGGGAGCTGATGCTGCATGGAAGGATGCGGAGGCGCAGATCTGCGTGGACCAAGAGGCTCCCATTCTGGTTCATGTTTTTAGTTATCATGGGAATGGCAACGGAGGCGACTGCATGGTCAATGTATGAAGTACCTGCGGCAAAGGAGGCATCGAAAGCTGAAAAGAACCATCTGTACACTGCCCAGAAAGGGGCACTGGTCCATCAGTCTGTCTGGGATCGCATGGCGTCTTTTTGGTGGGAGAGGCTGGTAAGAAACGACGATGACGTGGAAATGGATTTGCCTCCCAGTCCGCCAGAAGGCTATGGACAAGATTTCAAGAGCTGTGGGACAATTCGATGCAGTTTCTACGCACTCCAGGATCAGGCGA